TTTGACAAAGTACCGCTACAGGAATAGCCAAGAAATCTACAGATTTTAAATTCTCATTACAAATTGAGATTATAAATTTCCTCAGCTGCTTGACTAATTGGTATGATGTCAAGTTTAGTAAGCAAAACACTTCTGATGAAAACTGTTAATCTGCTGAACGCTTTGAAACTAATTGAATGCCCTGAAACTATTTAGGAAAACACGAAATAGAAAAAAAAAATGATTAGTGTAATGACAGATGAAATAGAACTGAACAAAAACTGACCATCAATCCAAAGTTTTCGGAAGAAGTTACCTGATGAACTGTGAAGTTGGCAGAAAAGTTATTCAAAGTAAATTACTTTTTTGTAGTTTTAGATTTTGAAATTATTTCTTTTTCCAGGAAGATGACAGAAGAACAGATGGAAAACCAGAGCAAATTTTGAATTTCTCTATAACATGAAAAAAATTGAAAAACATAAAACAGATGCATTTGAAAAAAAAGTGTGTTTTTGACAGCTGGCGGCAAGAGTGAGAAATGAGTTTTTCTAAACTAAAGATTATATAAATATTTGTTAACTCTTTGATCAAAAATGCATTTTTTGCTTACAATTTTATAGTCAGTTTTTATGTAAAGTGCGATAAGTATTTAATAGAATATTATGTTTTTATTGTCTTTTAAGGGTTATAATAAATATGCGCAATTTACCAAATCACATTATAAGTTAATAAATACATATAATAAACAAACATATTTTTTTTTAATGATAAGGGGCGCCAAACCTTGATATTGCATATACCAAAAAAAATCTTTGAACAGGCCCTGTTCTGCATAAAGATGTTTGCCAAGTAAAAGAAGCTGTAGATAAAATCATTGACTCAATATTAAAACACTCTTGGTGCATAGACTCAACTTTATAATTCTTTCGCTTCTAGATTATAAAGTTCCTGATAAAGATAAAACACTAATCGCCAAATCAATTTTATCTTATAAAATGCCATCTTTAAAGGCATCTGATTACAAAATTGAAAATAAGCCGAAAATGGATATCAAAGAGATAATCAACCTAGAGAGCACAACGGCTCTTGGTTGATTATCTCTCGGTTGAATAATCCACCAAATTTGGCGGTGTTATTTAACAAGTTTTCCTACTTTATTGTTGCAGTAAATGGATTTACAGAAGAGAGAATAAAAAATTGACCTAATATTAAAACATTCATGGTACTTAGACTCAACCTTGATACCTCTTTCGCTTCTAGATTATAAAGTTTATGATAAAATAAAACACTTAAAAAGAGGTGGAAGTGCCAACCAATCGCAACTGGTTGCCTCCCTTTTTTTTTAAGGACTTTTTTTTATATATAAAATTGAAAAATGGCCCCCCTTCACTTTGAAGGCCATTTCAATGGTCTTGTTATATTAAAAAAAATGTATAATGTTCAATGATTCTGTTATATTAGAAAAACTTGTATACTCCAAATGCTTTCTTAGTATCACAACAAACTCACCAACTTTGTGAATTTTGTAAAAACTTGTATACTTAAAAAGCTTTCTGAGTATCACAACAAACTCAATTTTTAAATAAAATTGAAACAATTTTGTAAATTTATGGATAATTTGAATAAAAAATGCTCGGTAATAAAACCAAAACAAAAATACATATGATTTTAAATGCAAAATATATGTAGTCTAGGCCCTTTTTTTTTATTCTGCCAACTTGGTTTATATTAAACTCCCCCTCAACGTCACTGAAATCGGCATCTTTTTACAAAAAAAAAAACGTTTTTTTCACACACATATACATATACATATATATATATATATATATATATATATATATATATAGCATCCTAGTTAGCAACTTTCAGGGACATGTTATTTTTGTTCCCATTCTGTTGTTTTTTTTCTTCCTTTTTTTATACTATTTTTATCATATTTATATATATTTTTTTAATTTTAATTTTATTTCTATTTTTATTTAAACATATTTAAACTTATTATTTTATTATCAAAATATATTTTTTATATTAATTTTTGTTATTTTTATTTATTTTATATTATACTTCATTTTTAACTTCATCTATTTACAAAAACAATTAATTACAATAATATAACCAAATTCAAACCTTGGCGTAACCCTAACCCTAAGCCTGACCTTGATGCCTAGCCAAACCAAACCCTAAGTCGATGTAGCAACACTCCCTTGCAAGTCATGCTATGTGTCAGTCAATGTATGTACTTTTGGTTCTCTATAAAAGTTTCTTACAAGTACATTTTTTTACAAAAAAACTTATGGGGACAAAAACCTAGCGGGTACACTAAAATGTCCCCGATAATGCTAATGTCCTCGTAAGTGTTTGTTTTTTTATAAAATCTGTCCTTGCAAGTGCTAAACTATAAATATATATATATATATATATATATATATATATATATATATATTAAAATTTTAGCAAATGATAAAATAAAAAAAGGATAAACCAGAAAAAATAAAAGCATAAAATTAGAATGTCTTTTTTTAATTTAAAATTGTTTCATTTCATAGCCTTTAGAAATGATGAAAGTTATTTAATAGAAGCTTAAATACTTCGAAACTTAATTATTTATATATTTTAAAAACTTTGATATTTTCTAATGTCTAATAAGCAAAGTATCAGTGTCCAGTGTCAGTTAAGGATATCCTGCTAGTGGTAACATGTAACTCAGAACAACCTGTTTCATTTCCCGCCACTTTATAGGAGACATTTTTTAAGCAAAGGCTAGTCAACTAATTTACTTCCACAAGGGCAAATCTGTTATTCCACCTCTCTAGTATGGTTCAGATTTTATCACCTCACCTTAAGACAAAAATGAATTGTTTGCTAAAAACTTTTCATCAATATGATCTCTTAAATCCACTAGTTGCAATCTTCCTGATGTTGCCAACAAACAGGTTGATCCATTGCTTGACATTCATATTACTCAAGCTTCTGTATCTAAAATGATTTCCTTCTTAGACTCTTCTACAGCTTGTGGTCCGGACAACACCTGTTATATTCTTGCAGAAATGTTCTCCGGAGCTATCGCCTATACTTTCAAAACTATTTAACAAGTGCTTGTCAAAGTTTTGTTTTCCGGCATGCTGGAAAGCAGGATATGTTATCATACATTAGATAGAGGTGGAGAGGTAAAGGCTATCGCTCTCTACATTTCTTTTAATAAAGTTTAGCATGCTGGCTTTCTCCATAACCTTTCTTCTTATGGTGTATTAGGTAACATCTTTAAGATAATTGAATCCTTTCTTTCCAATTGTAGTATAAAAGTTATCCTTGATAGACAACACTCTTCTTCATATCCTGTAACTTCAGGAGTTCCTGAAGGTTCAATCCTTGTCCCTATAGTCTTTTTAATTTACATTAAACGATCTTCCAGATATTCTCACATCTAAGGTGGCATTGTTTGCTGATGATGCTACCATTTATTCTTGTCATGATAAGAAGCCAACACTCTCTGATTGCTTGGAGGAGGCATTTGAGCTTGAAAAGGATCTCACCTCTGCTACAGGATGGGGGTCACAAAGGCTGGTGAACTTTAATTCAGATAAAACCCAATTTTTTTCAGCCAATCGTTACCCCAATAATTTAGATATTCCTATATAAACAGTGATGTACTCGACGAGTCTTCTACCAAAGAAGGCCACTACAGACGATGAGGCTACTTAATTGTGGTTAAAACCCTCTCTCAACTCCAAAATACGAACCTTGACAAACAAGGCCACTGCGCGAAGAAACAAGTTGAGCATGGTACTACCAAGGACATGGTAGGAATCGAACTTGGAACCTCTCACTTATGAAGTGAACGCTTTACCTCTACACCACTATGGCATACTGTTGCCATATCTGAGGCGAATATTCCATTAATGCCTCTTCTCTTTTAGAAAAGGTGCAAAAATACATTGTAAACATAGTTGGACCGGTTCTTGCAGCCAACCTCCGACTATTATCACATCGTCGTAATGTCGCTTCTCTTACTTTTTTATATAAATACTATAGTGGGAGCTGCTCTAAAGAGCTAGCTTCTCTTGTGCCATCTACTAAAATTCATTATCATGTTACTCATCATTCAATTAAGTCTCAACTTAATTAAGTCTTTTACTGTGACTGTTCCTAAGTACTCCAAAAATTATTATTCAATTAGTTTTTTTTCCACAAACATCAGAGAACTCTGGAACTCACTTCCTTTATCTTGTTTTCCTGATTCATATAATTTTCAATTTTTTAAATTTTTATCTTGCTCTTTTTTTCTTTTCTCTTCCGATTTTGAAGCTTGCAGCCTTGTTTGAAGCTTGCAGCCTTGATTTTGAAGCTTGCAGCCTTGATTTTGAAGCTTGCAGCCTTGATTTTGAAGCTTGCAGCCTTGTTGGAAGTGAAGATGTTAGAAAAAAAAAAAAACATAAAAAATTATCCGTTAAAAGGATTTGAAATCCAATGCTGAACTAACAATTGTACCTCATAAATATAACAACTTAAACACTACACTAACATATAGGAAAAATTGTTAATTTTAAACTATTAATTGAGATGCTTCTAAATATATTAAAAATTTATTACTTTTATGCTTTATTTTCTTAGGTTTATGCGTTATTTATTTTATCATTTGTTAAGTTTATTTACTTTTTTAGTTTATGGTTTGTTTATTTTTAATTTTTTCTTGAAATTAGTTTGGTTTTTTTTAAGCGCATTTTTCTAATGTGCAATAGAAATGGAAAATTGGAGTGCAAATGGAAAAAAGATTATCAAAACATAGAAAAAACCTTGTATTCATGGTCATAAAAAAAGTGAAGCACCTCTTCTAAGGAGGCATCAAGCCCCAGGAGATGCGTGGGGTCACACACACAGATATATATATATATATATATATATATATATATATATATATATATATATATATATATATATATATATATATATATATATATATATATATATATATATATATATATATATATATATTATTTGTTATATTGAATTAAATGAGTTACCTTGTTAAACCCCATCCAACAGCAACAGTGCACATTAAGAAACTGAGCAAAAGGAGAAGAGTAAAAAAGTAATTGGACCTTGCTCCCTGATATGAAGTAGAAGATTGTTTGCAGTTGTATATCAAACTTATCTAAAACAAAAAAATAGTTTAAGTTTTAATCTACTCAATCAGTAAAATTATGTTTAAAATAAAACAACAAGCTTAATTTCTTTAAGGAAAATTTTCTTTTAAAAACATTTAAATAAAGAAATTTAAATTTATTTAAAAAAATGTTTTAAGATTATTTTTTGAATTATCAAAACATTGATTCAACATAAACAAATGTAAGCACCTCTTAAACAATGATGAATTTCATCATCATCACCAGCATTATTATCCTCCTCCTCCTCCTAATCATCATCATCACATCACCATCATCATCACCATCATCATCATCATCATCATCATCATCATCATCATCATCATCATCATCATCATTATCATCATCACCATTATCATCATCATCATCATCATCATCATCATCATCATCATCATCATCATCATCATCATCTTTTGTTGTTTACTTTGTGGAAGTATTAATTGCTTGCGAAAAGTAAACCTTTACAGTATTAACAGAAATTGAGGACATTCATAACCATATCAGTTTGACTATCATGTCATCTGAATATTTAAAAGGAATTACACCTTCAAATGAAATTTTGGCTTTTGCTAACAATCCTTGAAAAAAACCAAGAATTGATAAGAGATGCTTACATTTGTTTATGTTAAAATCTATGTAGATTAGGCTGATGTTGGACCCAGTTCAAATAAGACTAGTGACTAAGAAGATGAACTTTGTTATATTTTCTAGGAAATGTAATCAAAACTGTATGGTTTAATTCCTTTGGATATTAGACATTTAGTTTATCAACTTGTTGGCATTACCAACTCCACCAAACTCTGTTGGTAATATTAACAAATCAAGATGCATCAATGAACAAGTTTTGGAGAATTGGTTAGATCATTTTCTCAAGATTGTTCAACAAAAAATAAAACAAAATCTAGTTTTTTTGTTAGAAGATGGACATGCTAGCCATTTTCGAAATTTAGTTGTTCTGGAGAAAGCAAGGGCTGATGATATGATTTTGTTAGTGCTTCTATCACACTGCACATACAAGTTACAGCCACATGACATTTCATTCTTTTAAAGGTTGAATTTGCATTATGATACAATAAGAACATTTTGGCTGAAAAATTCAAGCTGTTTCTGAAGAACATGTTGCTGGTATATTTTGCAGAATCATACTGTATTGCTGCAAATATTAACAAAGCAAAAAAAGGTTTTGCTGCTGCTGGCATTCATCTGTTTGATAAACAAAATTTACAAATGCCAATTTTTTAGGAGTTAGTGCTACAGATAATAATATAGTGATGCCGTAAGCGCAACTTGTAATACAATATAACGCAACTTTAATTTAAAGTGATTACCAACTTTTCAAAACAAACAAATGTGGGTGATATTTCACTATTTGTGGAGCAGAGATCTTATCAATAGCTACAACCAGTCAGGCATAATGAAACTTTAGTGATGCTTTTATATGCTCTTTATACTATTTTCTTTATTTGTTATGATTGTTGTGGTTTTTAAAAAAGTTTTTGAACTGCAATCTTTTTTATCATTATTACTTTTTTAATATGTAAAATAAACTCAGTAGTTTAAATTAACTTGGAAGTTGTTTTAAATTAACTTGGATTGTTGTTTTAAATAAACTTGGAAGTTGATTTAAATTTACTTGGAAGTTGTTTTAAATTAACTTGAAAGTTGTTTTAAATTAACTTGGAAAGTTGTTTTAAATTAACTTGGAAAGTTATTTTAAATTAACTTGGAAGTTAATTAAAATTAACTTGGAAGTTGTTTTAAATTAACTTGGAAGTTGCTTTAAATTAACTTAAAAGTTGTTTTAAATTAACTTGGAAGTTGTTTTAAATTAACTTGGAAGTTATTTTAATTGGCAAATGGCAGATGTTTCTGTAATTTACTTAACTATAGCTATCTGAGATTATAAAAAACTAAAGTATGCAATGTTTCCTAATGTGAACCCAGGATTCATATGAAGCTGTTGGGGATCTTTTACCTAAACTTTACTTAAATTTTACTGTCTTTTACTTTTACTCAAAGGATCCACATTAATTGCCTTATGTGGACCCTTAAAGTAAAACTTAAAATTTCATGTTTGTTTAAGCAGTCAGAAGCTACTAAAAAACATCAGTTGGTTTAAAAATAGTTATCAAATTATCAAATTGTTGAAATTACAAGAACCACATGATTAGCAAATTGTTGAAATTACAAGAACTATGTGATTACCAAATTGTTGAAATTACAAGAGCCATGTGAAAAATAACAAGAATTTTTATTTTATCCAGAAGTTGTCAATAGAATTAGATCATTGTCAATAAAAATTTTGATAAACCAAATAGCAAAAAAATAAAATAAATAATGAAATAAAGCAAAAGACAATCAGAAGAAATAAAATTGGAATTTTTTGGTTTACTAAAAAAATAACACATGTAACAGGATAACAACAAAAAATTTAAAAAAAGGCAAACCTATAAAATATCAACAAGATTCATAATTAGATTCGAATCAATCCTAGGTTGCTTAGTTTATAATCAGATACAAATCAATCCTAGGTTGCTTAGTTTATAACCAGATACAAATCAATCCAAGATTGCTTCGTTTATAATCAAGCATGAATCAATCCTAGGTTGCTAATCAGGTACAAGTTAATCTTCAATTGCTTAGTTTAGCCAAGTTATCCAATAAAATGTTAGTAAGGTAACACAGAGGATCAGGTCACAATAAATCAATTTCTCACAAATTCAATAAAAACATTGCATACCATGCCACATATACAAAAAGTGCTATGTACATTTCTTGTGTTTTATTGTTACAAAAAACATGGTTGGTTTTTAATGCAAATTTTGCATAAAATTAGTTATGTGTCTAAAACTTTGACATGGACCGCTTGAGATTTATAATGTATCATTAAAATTTGAAAATGAAAATGAAATTTATATCACACCTCTCTATTTTTATTTGTTGCTTGCTATCATTATTCATTGTAAATAAGTTTAATATTATACAATCTGCTTTTAGTTTAAGTTTATATTTGTATAATTGCTTACAACAAAAAAAAAAAAAAAACATTAAAAAAAATAATATTAAACGTTTTTAACTGCTTAAATTATCAATAAAAAACATTTTCATATATATATTTTATTCTAACAAATTCATTTAACAAACTTTTTTTAAAATTATGTGTGTCAAAATAAACAAATATATATAATAATAAAACATCAATTAATATTAGAGAAGAATAAAAAGTAATTCAAAAAATGTATTTTTTATCTTTAATTTCATAACTATTCTTTAACAATATCATGGAGCATCATGGTCAATATATTATTAAAGATAAATGGTTATACCATAGTTCTGCACTACTTTGAACCATCATGGTCTATTACCTCTTGCTAATGGTTAGGCAAAAAACAAATGCTATTGGCATACTCTCTAAAGCTTTGTAGTCAGATTGTATCAGCTTGGGTAGTGAAAGCTTTCAAAATGCAAGCTGTTGCATAGTGATCAAAGCAAATTATAATCTGTTTATGTTAAGTCGCATGTGCAATACTGTGTACTAGGGTGGATTGATTTTCATAGCAAAAAAAAAAAAGTTTAAAAATCAATATTCCTGAGACACGAATCGATGTCGAATCTTGAGGTTTCTCTTTGGATTCTAAATCCTTGACAGATCCAAATATTTTTGAATTTTTTTTTTTCTAAACTATATCAACCTTGGACTCAAAAAAAGCAGAAAAAAATGCTTGTTTTATCAATAATAAATTTATTAAAAAAAAATTTTTAGTGAAAAAAATATATGCAAAAATATACCTTAAAACCCCCGTTTTGATGAAGACGGGGGTTTTTTAATGAAAAAAAAAAACTACATTATTTTTTTCTTTTTAGTTTTGAATTAAAACAAATATTATATTCAAAATAGGCGTATTATTCTGCTTCTTTTGAGTACCAGGTTGATATAGTTTAGAAGAAAAATTTCAACAATGTTAGGATCCGTCATAAATTTAGAATGCAAAGAGGAACCTCTAAAACTTATTTAAATTAAAAAAAAAAAGTAAGGTTCTTTTTTTACCAAAAGACATTGATTCACAGCTCAGGCAAATCAAATTTCAAATATTTTTAAAATCGCTCCACCCTACACAGGGTGGAGCCATTAAAAAAATTTTCAAAATCGCTCCCACCAAACCAAAAGCAACACCTTTTCAGGGTTTAGGTCAACTTTTAAAGTTTTAATTTGGTTTTATTGGTTGTTTTGGCTCTAGTCACTAGTGCTCCATGGTGTGGTTTACATAGAGCACCCACTTCTAGTCTACACTGATGCCATGGTTAATCCAGTTAAGCCATGTAGCGCAAATGTTGTTTATCTCTAAATTTCAAAAGCATTGAAACCAATGTTTTGCTGTCACCTCAGATAGCAAAACTCTGAACTATTTGTCTATAATTTTTGTGTGATTTTGGCTGTTAAGCGACCCAACTGAAACTCATAAAGCAGGCAGTGTCACATATTAAAGTTTTTAACATCTTTTATTTCTGGCAAAATACAAAAATTGCTGATGTTTTATATCCTATTTATATTCAAATCATGGATGTTTCTTGAAGCTTACAAAACATTCTAGGAATTTTTAGAAAAATTCCTCACTACTTTTTATGTCAAAATATTCAAAAATCACTATTGATCAGGTCTTTTTTTTGACAGTAATTAAGTTATTTTTAATTTACAATCAAACTTTTAAATAATTTGAAAATTTAATTGTGCTAACAAAAAATGTCTAAACAGAGACATAATGTCTAAAGTAAATTATTTAACTCTTAGTAAGTCTAAATATTGCTTTATAAAACATAATAGCTGTAATGTAAAAAATTTACTTTAGGAGATGGATTTTTTATCATTGTATATATTCAGAAGTTTCTTAAGTTTTAGACTGCACATCTTTTATGTTTATTAAGTTTTAGACTGTACACCTTTTAATATTTTTTATATTATTTGTATTCATTAATTTGGAACAATCAAATTATTTTGAAAAACTGTTTGGTTTTTAGAAAAAATAAATTGAATACCTAAAATTTACTTTAATCCCAAAACAAAATTAAACATTTTTATAAAACCCTGATAAATGATGTTAATATGTTTACCTTTTTAACATAAAACATAATTGTTAACTTGAGGACACCAATTACAGGAAGAAGAGGTGCAAAGTAAGAACCAATCCTATAAAAAAAACTAAATTGAAAACTAAAATAAAACAAAATGAGAGTTAAATTTTATATTTGAATGTTTAACTAATTTTGTTTAATTTTCAATTTTGAAAAAGATTTAACCATAAAAGAGATTGTCCGTAAACAAGATCAAGAACATTTTGAGGTATTTGGAACTCTTGCATTCCAATTTTTCGACCTATGTTGTAACCACAATCGGCATATCGATATAAATATCTAAACATACACAGAAAATGTTTTATTTATATTGACATAAATATCTAAACATACACAAAAAATATTTTATTCATATTTTAACTTTTTTTAAAGTAAAATTAAAAGAAAAACTTACTTTCTACCAGTTTCCGTAAATATTGTCAAAGCAACACTAATGATAAAATCAATAATAATCAAGTTGTACATTTGAGCTCCTATTTCATTTTCCCAACACTAAGTTAAAAATAATTTAAAAAACTTTTATGGGATTGCAAAAAATAAAAATTACAGAACTAAAATATTAAGAATTTAGTTATACTTGTTTGTTTGCTAAATCATCATTTTATTGCTTGATTTAATTTATTGCTTGATTGCATTGACAAAAATAATATAAAAAGTTTTCAAAAAAACACACACTTTCACACTTGCTTTTATAATAGAATAAAACAAAAATATATTGTTTCCTTGAAATGTCAAAAAGATTATTTTATTGTTTTCAGTGACAAATATCATTAACAAGTAATTTAATGTAAATGTCTTTTTTTTTATGCTAATTATTTTATGTTTTTAGTAAATGATAAAAAAAGTAAAAAATTATTTATCTTTTGTCTATTATTGTTTGAATACGAAGTAGGGTAAAGTAGTCTATAAACGCTTTTATATTTTGATGATTATATTTTGATGTAAATAGTGATTATAATAATATTACATTTTAAATCTTTTTTTAAAGAAAAATAAAAATTATTTATCTTTTGTCCATTATTGTTTGAATACAAAGTAGGGTAAAGTAGTCTATAAACGCTTTTATATTTTGATGATTATATTTTGATGTAAATAGTGATTATAATAATATTACATTTTAAATCTTTTTTTAAAGAAAAATAAAAATTATTTATCTTTTGTCCATTATTGTTTGAATAAGAAGTAGGGTAAAGTAGTCTATAAACGCTTTTATATTTTGATGATTATATTTTGATGTAAATAGTGATTATAATAATATTACATTTTAAATCTTTTTTTAAAGAAAAATAAAAATTATTTATCTTTTGTCCATTATTGTTTGAATACAAAGTAGGGTAAAGTAGTCTATAAACGCTTTTATATTTTGATGATTATATTTTGATGTAAATAGTGATTATAATAATATTACATTTTAAATCTTTTTTTAAAGAAAAATAAAAATTATTTATCTTTTGTCCATTATTGTTTGAATACAAAGTAGGGTAAAGTAGTCTATAAACGCTTTTATATTTTGATGATTATATTTTGATGTAAATAGTGATTATAATAATATTACATTTTAAATCTTTTTTTAAAGAAAAATAAAAATTATTTATCTTTTGTCCATTATTGTTTGAATACAAAGTAGGGTAAAGTAGTCTATAAACGCTTTTATATTTTGATGATTATATTTTGATGTAAATAGTGATTATAATAATATTACATTTTAAATCTTTTTTTAAAGTAGCATGATTGTTTAGCTCTAGAAAGTAGCATGTTTTTAAAGTAGCATGATTGTTTAGCTCTAGAAAGTAGCATGTTTTTAAAGTAGCATGATTGTTTAGCTCTAGAAAGTGGCAGCTTAAGCTCCATTAAGTTTCCAATGGTTTGAAAACGCTTTTGTCTAAAGGATAAATTTCATGACTGCAATTCCCATATTAATGTTTATATTTTCAACTTTCTCAATTACAGCAGTATCCAAATGACTGTGATATCCGTCAAAAATCAATAAAGCGTTTCCTTGGAATCGGTACTGGTTAAAATGGAACAAAAAAGTACAAAGTTCTTCCTTTAGTAATATACCCTTTAAGAGTCATACGAAAGTACTTCCAAGGGACAAATTATCCTTTTTTATGCAACACAAGCAGCCCAGTTGTTACTTAAATAAAGGTTTTTTTTTAACGATTTATTGCTTATTTTCAATAATAAAATATTGTATTACACATTTAAACAAACAAAAACAGCAATAAACATTGATTGATTTAATCAAATATAAATAAAGTAGATACTTTTACTTGATCAACAATAAAAAAAATTACAAAAATACACTCTCTACACTGTATAAAATGTGAATAACTCAAAATGACAATAAAATGAACAATAGTTTACAAAAAATGCAACTTAGTACCTCAGTAATGATTGATCTTAGGAATTCTGATAATGGTTTTTAAATGTTTCCACTAAATATTAGTTAAGCCAACTTTGAAAAATGAAATGGCGTTATGAGCCATTAACATTATTAGACTACTTTACCCTAGATAGAGTAATTATTTACCTTTTGTCCATCGTTGTTTGAATATGAAGTATATAGAGTAATTATTAACACAGCAACAGATGCTAATTTTAATAAAACTGCTCTGCAAAAAAAAAAAAATAATAATAATAATTATAATAAAACTGCTCTGTAATATATATTTTTGTATATGACAAAAAAATTAAATTAAAAAAAATTAACCTCCAAAGTGACATTGCAAGCTCTATTCGAGGACTCCATTGCTCAAAAGATGCAAGAACATCAAATAAAAGTGGAAGAATGATGTTTAAGATGCTGATTGTCAATGAAGATGCCCATCTTTTGATAATAGTAACAAAAGAATTACCTGTTGCATTTAAATTCTAAAGTAAAGAAAGCCTTAGTTAAGGATGTATGTACTCAAGCCCCAGCATTCACTTATTTTAATATGACATAATTAGTGATCGTGTAGTGAAAGAGAAATGAAGAAAAAAACTTTAACTTCTACTTACCTCACAATTGTTTCATCATTTCAAAGAAAAAATCCAAGTCATAATGACTTCAATACGAATTTTGTTAAAGTTTTTAAAACAAGGACATACTGTTATCTGAGAGTATCAGGTGTAAATGCTATGCAAAAATGTAAGCAAACTACATAATTTAAAGACTCCCATTAAACCATTAAAAAAAATTAAGCCTAATTTGAAATAAAGTTTAAATCTGCATTTTAGTTTCTGGTTTTCAAGATTTGCCTGATAACTCATCTAAATATAAATTAAACAAGACAAATCCAAGGCAAATATGTTAGAGATGGTTTTAATTAAAGCATGTAATGTGAAAAAAATTAATTGAAAATTAAACAAGACAAATCCAAGGCAAATATGTTAGAAATGGTTTTAATTAAAGCATGTAATGTGAAAAAAATTAATTGAAAATTAAACAAGACAAATCTAGAGCAAATATGTTAGAGATGGTTTTAATTAAAGCATGTGAAAAAAATTGAAAATTTAGAAACTTAAACAACTTAATTGTTTAATAAAATTGTTTAGATTTTACTGCAAACAAAAAAAACCTGCTTTGTTATGCTTTTTGTCACTATAATTTTATTAAAAGCTTATTGAATTCATATTCATGTTTGTCATATTAAATATGGGAAAGATTTTTGTGAAAAGTTTAATAGTTTTTAAGATTGGCAAATATTTTGAAAAACCTTTAGAACTTCAATTGTCTCAATTAATCAATAAACTAATTCAATTGTCTCAATTAATCAATAAACTAATTCATTGTAAATCCATCAGTCCAATAAATTGATTGAAATGAACCAACTAACTCTTTGAAAACTAATCATTCCATTTAATTGATTAATAAATTAGTTCTAATAAATGATAATTAATTTGTAAACCAGTCCAACATATAGTTCTTGATAAATGATAATTAATTTGTAAACCAGTAGAACATTGAGTTCTTGCAGTTTTATTCAAAACAGTACAAGAATATTCTTTAAAGATATTTTTTTTATATTTTGATATTTTTAATGACAGGAGTCATTAAAACTTGTTTTGACAGGAGTATGAAACTTGTTTTGACAGGAGTATGAAACTTGTTTTGATATTATTCAAGTATGTTGACTATTTATTATACTTTTGATAGAATTTAAGTATGTTGACTTTTTAATATACTTTTAATATAATTTTAAGAATGTTGACTTGCAACAACATCAACAAGTGCTACCCAGGAGCAACATTAGCTAAAGTAAATAAGTGATTTGTAGTTTTTATAGGTTATTATAAAAATGAAACTTTATGTTACTTATTATTTTTATATTCATGTTTGAAGAATTTTTTGGCATTTAGAAAATTGAATAAAGGGCCTACAGGTCCATACCATAGGTTAATAGAAATAGACTGTTTTTTAAATTTTAAATAAGATTTAAAAAAAAAAAAAATTCTTATTAAAATTTTGTTTGTTAGCTTGCAGTTTCTGTTGTCTTTTTTGAACAATTGTTTTTTTGACCTACATTACACTTTTAGATCAGATGTTTTTTTTAAATATATTTAACCTAAAATAACAGTTTTTATTTTTAGTTAATATACAAAATATATAAAATTTGATAAAGTAGGTGTTTAATGTCAAAAAGCCTTGGTTTTTACATAACCAAATTCTATGTAGAACCAAGTCATTTGATAATTTGTCTTTTAAATTTAAAAAACATACATTGTAAGGTGAACAAATATTACACAAACAATGTTGTTTTTTAAATGTTATATTTGTAATAGTTTTTGTAATAAATATTTGTATCTGTCATAATGTGGTAATGTAATTTATTTATTATGTGTTTATATGTTTTATATAAGGTTATATGAATTTATATTTTCTAAATGTTGATGTAGGTGTTTTAATGTATATGCTGTCAGTAGTTAAAATATGTACAATAAACTCTGGATAACTTGATAACCTTAACCAACTTGAGCTAATTTTGAAACTCTAATTAATTTATGGATTCCCAATCTCTACTTAGTCACATTTAGTTCTCTACTTAGTCACATTTTGAGTTTTCAAATAAATAAATTAAATATTTTCAAATAAATAGAGTATATAATACATTAATGTGTAATTAAGTTGTAAATAGTGTTTCCAACAATAATTTTGTTTTATTTTCAGGTTGAATTCCTTTCTACTGATTTTTGAAAGTTTTACACCATAGAATAATTTAAAAAATGTTTTGAATTTTTCTAAATATTCAGAACATATCTTGACAAAACTTCGTTTTCTAAAAGCTAAAACAAAGTTTCATCAATCTTCATACCATTTACTAAAAGCTATATAATAATGAAACAATGTTTTTTCAATTATATTATAATGAAACAATGTTTTTTACTAAAAGCTATATAATAATAAAACAATGTTTTTTACTAAAAGCTTTATAATAATGAAACAATGTTTTTACTAAAAGCTATATAATAATGAAACATGCTTTTTCAATTATTTAAATTGCTTTTTAAATACTTTTTTTAAGTTAAATTATTTTTTTTGTAATCTTATTTTTTAAGTTTATATTTTTATTTCATCTCAAGAAAAATGTTTTTTGTATTTAACATAAATATTTACAATTTTTCTTTTAGGAATAATTATTTTTAATGGATATATTGGCTATTTTTGCCTTGTTTTTATTTTTTTATTTTTGTTATATTTTTATATGTGAATGGAAACCATTTATACTTTTATAACCTTTAGTGATTACCATTCAGATGATTTCTATTTGCTTTAAGTATCAATTTTGAGCACAAACAACAGCTATAATAATAACTAATTATTGCCAAAATTGGTATTAAAAAAATCATAATTGGAAGATTTTATTAAGAGTATTAAAAAGAAAAATTTCTATAAAAAATATCAAACAGATAGAGCTAACTTATTTGACATAATTAGGCCCCATAGCCTGTTTTTGTGACTTTTTATTATTTAAACAAATGTTAATGAGAGCGGTTTTTAAAAAAAAAATTTATAAAAAAATTTTATTATAGTCTTGCAGAAGTGTTCTTTGGAGCTGTCGTCTATTCTTACAAAACTATTCAATAAGTGCTTATCAGAGTCTTGTTTTCCAGCCTGCTGGAAAGCAGCATCTGTTATCCCTATTTTTAAAAATTCTGGAGAGCGATCCGATGCATCTAACTACCATCCCATTAGTCTTCTTCCTACCATAAGCAAGGTTTTTGAATCTTTAATTAACAAACACTTAATCTCTCATCTCGAATCTCATAACCTACTTTCTGATCATCAATATGGATTTCGATCTTCTCGTTCTACAGCTGATTTGCTAACAGTAATAACCGAAAGGTTTTATCGCGCATTAGATAAAGATGGAGAGGTTAAGGTCATCGCTCTTGACATTTCTAAAGCATTTGATAAAGTTTGGCATGCTGGTTTTCTCCATAAGCTTCTTCTTATGGTGTATCTAGAAACATCTTCAAGATTATTGAATCATTCCTTTCCAATCATAGTATAAAAGTTGTTCTTGATGGACAGCACTCTTCTTCTTATTCTGTAACCTCAGGGGTTCCTCAAGGTTCAATCCTTGGCCCTATACTCTTTTTAATTTACATTAACAATCTTCCAGATATTCTCACATCTATGGTGGCATTGTTCGCCAATGATACTACCATTTATTCTTGTCACAATAAGAAGCCAACTCCCTTTGATTGCTTGCGGGGGGCATTTGAGCTTGAAAAGGATCTCACTTCTGCTACAGCATGGGGCTCACAGTGGCTGGTGATCTTTAATTCAGATAAAACTCAATTTCTTTCAGCCAATCGTTATCGCAATAATTTAGACCTTCCTATTTTTATGAACGGTAATATACTTGATGAGTCATCTACCCTTCATCTTCTAGGATTAACTCTTATTTCTGATTTTTCTTGGAAACCTTATATCAAATCCATTGCAAAATTAGCATCTGCTAAAGTTGCATCTCTTTATCGAGCTCGACACTTTCTTACTCTGGATTCTATTCTCCATCTCTATAAATCTCAAATCTGGCCTTGTATGAAATATTGTTGCCATATCTGGGGCGGATCTTCTAATGATGCCCTTTCTCTTTTAGACAAGGTGCAAAAATGCACTGTAAACATAGTTGGACCTGCTCTTGCAGCCAACCTTCAACCTTTGTCACATTGCCGTAATGTTGCTTCTCTTTCTCTTTTCTACAAATACTATAATAGGTACTGCTCTAAAGAGCTAGCGTCTCTTGTACCATCTACAAAAATTCATTCTCGTGTTACTCGTCATTCAATTAAGTCTCATCCTTTTTCTGTTACTGTTCCTAAGTGCTCCAAAAACTCTTATTTGTCTAGTTTTTTTCCAAAGAACATCAGTTCTTTGGAATTCGCTTCTTTCGTCTTGCTTTCTAGATTCATATAATTTGCAATATTTTAAGTTGTCTGTCAATCATTATCTTGCTCTACAATCTTTATCTTTTCTCTTCCAGTAACTTCCAACACTAATTAGTGGTTGCTTGCAGCCTTGTTGGAAGCGAAGATGTTAAAAAAAAAAAAAAATTATAACCTTAAATTTCCAAAACACCTGGAGAAATGCTACAACACTATCATCTATGTTAAAGACTTTTTTATGTAAAAAATACTGAAATTAGTACTGTAAATAATTAACCAAAAGCAAAAAACTTTAATTCAATTAATTTTCTTTTATTTATTAAAGTAAAGAGGCCAAACTAAGAACAAGTTTAGATATAGTCGGGTGTAGAGAAAATATTACCATGACCAGTATCCCACCTTGCAGCATTTTGTAAAACATAAATTTTTGTATTTTTATTGTTACAGAAGTGTATCAATATTTTAATACTTATATCACCTTGGTGATTACAATCTTGATTGTTTCCATTACCTTTTTAGTGCCAATATTTGTTACAAATAACAGCTATAATAATTTAAAAACAGCTTAACTGAAAAAGTTTGTTACAGTAAAGTTCCTATAAGATATACCGAACAGAGAGAGCTAACATATTTGACATAACTAGATTTTGTGACCCATTTCTGTGTCCACTTTTAAATAAATATAATCTTAATAAAAAAGTTATTTTTTACAATAGCCCAAGTATTTCTTTCTCAATAATTTAGGGTTCTCAATATTTATGTTGGTACAAAAGATATGTCAACAAAAATTTAAACTGTTCTTGGTAAAATTTATTGTTGACAAACTAACATATTTTTAATTAACTGTTCCACAGTTATTTTCTAAAGCCATTGTACCACACTGTACAATGATTTCAGAAAAATGCTGATATAGCTTAACTAATAATTAACATATTTTAAGGACAACAAAGTAAAAATTTTAGTCAAAAGAAAATCAATAATAATAATATATAGGGCTGTTTTTGTATTAGTTAATTCAATACCCAGTTTTGGCATCTGGATTAGATAACTATTTTAAATGAACAATGTTTAAAAAATGTTTTTAATTGTAAAAAGGTTTGGAAACTTTATATTTTTAACTTGAACGCTCTGGAAATAACAGTTGATATTTGAAAAATTTGTAAATAATTTTACTTAACAATTAGGAAATAAAAAATTTTACTTAACAGTAAATAATTTTAAACTTTTCAAGTACATTTAGTATTGCTTACTCATTGCATATTTTCTAAATAAAAATTAAAAAAAGTGTTACTGTGTTTTTCTAAATAAAAATTAAAAAAGTTGTTACTGTGTTTTTCTAAATAAAAATTAAAATGTTGTTACTGTGTTTTTCTAAATAAAAATTAAAATGTTGTTACTGTGTTTTTCAAAATAAAAATTAAAAATGTTGTTACTGTGTTTTTCTAAATAAAAATTAAAATGTTGTTACTGTGTTTTCTAAATAAAAATTAAAAATGTTGTTACTGTGTTTTTCTAAATAAAAATTAAAATGTTACTGTGTTTTGTGAAACTTCAACAGATTTAATGATGACGTATATTGATCCAGCTAACATCAACATAACAAATAATGAAACAAGTGATCTCATAAAGTAAATTTTGGTTATATCCCAACGTGTTCGATTTTTCATTAATTCCAAACGTTTTTCTTCAGCTAATTCTGTCTGAAAATAATAAGAATAATTCTATAAACATTTAATCTAGAGAAACTTAATGAATGAGTAATGAAAAAAAGAAACAATAGCTTGTATGCCATTTTCGTTTTACATTTTACCCTAATTGGTTGCTTTTATGTTTGCTTTTTTAATATTAAATTAAATTATTGCAAGATGTGTCATGCTAGGTATTGCTTATCAAGCATAATGCATTGCTAATAATCCGAACTAAAATAGTTTTTTGAACTTCAGAACCCATTAACAAGCATATAGAGATATTTTTTTGAACTTTAGAACCCATTAACAAGCATAATAATATTTAAAAATAATAATAAAAGATTTTATTTTATAACTATTTTAGTATACATGCAAAAATATTTTTAAATGATGTAAATGTGTAAAAGAACAAAATTTTTAACTTTTTTACTATCTTGTGTAATGCAAATTTAAATATTATTTTACTGTAGCTTTTTCAAATAAACTATTAATTCCATTTTAGCTCTTGCGTAACTTAAAATACTAAAGTATCAAATGTTTAAAGGTTAGTCCTTAAGGTGAAACTTGTTATTTAAAAACTATAAGAACTTGCTAAAATAAAAACTTGAACTAAAGAAACTTGCTAATTATAAAACAGTCTACAAAGTTTTGAAACAGTCTACAAAGTTTTAAAAATATTATTTTTTGAAAATATTATTTTTTGAAACAATCTACAAAGTTTTGAAAATATTATTCACAGATGTCATTTTCTAGCAGACAGAAAAACAAGAAATTAAAAAAACTGTTAAACAACTCAGAAAGTATTAAAAAGAGTTCAGGAGAACACTTTTTATATAAGTGTTTTATAGAGTGTAAAAAGTCTTATGGATTATGAAAGTTGTAGGCAAGGGTTTAAGTGAGAAATTAGAAAAGAAAACCAAAGTGAATTGAATGTCTAACTGAATTTATCTATTTCTCTAGGATGATAAACACAGTGATCATCCGGTCTTATTTTTAAAATTCAGTAAACATTTTCCCAAAAATATCAGACTCTGTAAAAATAGTTACAAATAAGAAGTAGAAGACTAAACTGAAAGTCTATTAAACAACGCAGAAATGCAAAATGGTGCTTAAATTCACCTATAAAACTTCTTAATTATCAATAATTTAAATATCGTCTCCGGTGTTAGAAAAAAAGTCAGTAATGCTAGTTTATAAAAAGTATTAGTTATTTGTGAATGCATATAAATATAGCTTGAAATATAAAGTTTATTTTCAAAATAACAACTTTTAAATAACTACAAAGAAGTTTTAAAAAATTTAGAAGTTAGAATGAAGAATATTTTTTGCTGATCTTTCTTAGAAGAAGACAATATTGGCTTTTTCTTGTCTAATTATATAAGATTCTTTGAAGCATTTATAACGTACTCCTGTTCTACGAAAATAGTGGTAAAAAGGACATAAAATGTCCAATCTCAAAATAAATCTCACAAAGAAAATATAAAGATTGTAAAACCAACACTACACTCAAGATTTATGAAAAATTATAAGTACTTCTATTTTAACATATAGCTCTAAATATTCATGACGAGCAAGTATATGGAAGCAAAATAGAAAGTTTTTAAAAAAAAGTCACAGGCAAAGAAGATCAGTACACACTGAAGCAATGCTTGTTTACATTGTTGCTGAGCATTCACTACCATTTAGTCTCACACTGCAATAATAAGATTAAAGTAAACGCTCGCAAAAGACAATAAAATCTTAACCTCGTTGAAAATGGCAGGTTGCACAGCTTCTTGTAAGTTTTAAGTAAGTTATAAGAATTGGTAAGCTTTACATTTAGCAAACAATATAAAAAAAGATTTATACAAATTGTATTTTTAATTAATATTAATGAATCAATGAGCAATGCACACAATTCAGTTTTCTTTATTATGGTAATATATTACTCCAAAAGCCAGATGCTGTCAATTGTACAGCATTACAAGTGAAATCTTTTACAGTTGTTAATGGGAAAACATTATTTGATTACATCAAAAAACTTTTTTCAGAAGATGGAAACCTGCTAATAATTTAATAACTACATGTAGACTAAATAACCTAGTTTTGAAACCCCTTTTAATAAAACATGCATCTCATTTTTTAGATATTGATGGAGACTTGTGTTCTAAGCTCTATTTGAAAGTATTTTGGGTATATTTGTACAGATGTTGTATTGTGGTACTAATGCGGTAGAGCGCTCGCCTCAAAAGCAAGAAGTTTCAATTTTAATCCCCACCACATCCCTGGTAGTAAGGCACTCAACTTGCTTCTCCACGCAGCAGTCTTGTTTGTGTTAGGAAGATATAGTAGAGAGTTAACAATTTGAAAACTGCAACGGCAACTTTTACAACTTAAGATAAATATTTGACACTAGGCATGTACAATGGATGGGATTCCCTGAATAGCCATTTCAAAACTATATATATATATATATATATATATATATATATATATATATATATATATATATATATATATATATATATATATATATATATATATATATATATATAAATATATATATATATATAAATTTATATATTAATATACATATATATATATAAATTTATATATATATATATATATATATATACATATATATATATATATATATATATAAATATAATATATATATTTATATACATATATATATATATATATATATATATAAATATATATATATATAATATATATATATATATACATATATATATATACATATACATATATATATATACATATATATATATATATATATATATATATTTATATATATATATATATATAAATATATATATATATATATATATATATATATATATATATATATATATATATATATATATATATATATAAATATATATATATATATATATATATATATATATATATATATATATATATATATATATATAAATATATATATTTGGTCAGGTCAGGTTTATCCTGCTACTGGTAAAATGTAACCCAGAACAATCTGCTTCATGTCCTGCTGCCTTGTAGGATATGCCTTTTTAGGCAAAGTCTAGGAGATGCAAACTCCGACATAAAACACCCCCTGCCTTGGGGCTCTTGGTTGAGTAAAGGCTAGAGGTGGTGTCTCGATAAAAATACTCATCTTGGGCAAATGTTAAATGCACCTGGCTGCTGTCTTGAAAAAGACCTCCTAGGCAAAGACTTAAGGGATAAACAGATTCTAAATGTTGCCTCGCACCCCTTCTTCATCTATTAGGCTGGCGCAGATGTATTTTTAATACATTGTTTCCAGTTTAGGATGTTGAACGCTAGATCTTCTTGAGTCAATTCACGGGTTTTGCTTTTGTCTCTGTTTTTATGACTAGGCAACTCATTCTATTATCTCCAAATGAGGGCACAGCTCTAAAACTCAGTTTTATGGTTCTGAGGCCGGCTGGTAGTCAGGTTTCCCGAACTCTGTGGTAGCTCTCAGAGAGGCTGATTCCATCAACAACTGAAAAATATCAGAGTACTAACAGTGCCATGTTGCGCATGGATGGTGTCCCTGTTTGTACTTTTGGTGTGCATTGCCAAGGCCACATTGGAGCCCTTTGTTACGGCTAAGGGTTTATTAGTGGAAATGAGGCGATTTCTTGGACTATAAGACAGTGTACTGAGTACTATCTATGTTTCGAGTCAAGTTCTTCAACAAATTGAAAAATGAATAAAGTAACAAAAACTATAAAACACAAAAAACCATAGTCATCACCAAGTTCGCTAAACCTATTCTATATCTATCACCTTTCTCTTTGTTCTATATCGCTCTCCCTCATCTCAAGACTGCACTTATCTTGATACTGTTTCTGATTATATTGACCAAGCCCTCATTCTTTATCCATCAGCCAATATTGTTGTTGTCGATGACTTGTTCATCACACTGAATGGCTTGGCTCTAGTGTCAGTGACTCTGCAGGCATTAAGACCCACAACTTTTGTCTTTCTCAATCCCTAACTCAAATAGTCAACTTTCCAACTCGCTTTCCAGACAACCCGAATCATTTACCTTCTCTACTCGACTTACGTCTTGTTTCTGATCCTAGTCAGTGCTCAATTTCTCCACACTTACCCTTAGGTGCTTCTGATCATGGTTTGGTCTCTCTAAAACTATTATCTCATTCTTCTTTACCATCAGAATCCCCCTATCATCGTACATCTTACAACTACCTTAAAGCTGACTGGAACTCTTTCCATGATTTTCTTCGTGATGGCCCCTGGGTAGAAATCTTTCGTCTCCCTGTTGACAAATGTGCTTCTTACATAACTTCGTGGATTCAGGCTGGCATGGAATCCTTTATTCCCTCTCAACGATTTCAGGTCAAGCCTCACTCTCTATGGTTTTCCTTACATTGTGCCGCTGCAATTGTCAATCGAAACCATTACTTCCATATCTATCAGCAAAACAATTCTCTAGAAAACAGATGTCTGTTTATTACTGCTAGGAACCATTGTAAAAAGGTTTTGTCTAATGCCAAAGCCTGCTATTCTCAGATCATGAAATCTCGTATTTCATCACAAAAATTAGGCTCTCGTGACTTCTGGAGAGTCTTTAATAATATCAATAATAAGGGCAAGTCTGTAATTCCACCTCTTTTGTACGGTTCAGACTTTATCACCTCACCTAAAGACAAAGCTGAATTGTTTGCCAAGAACTTTTCATCAATATCATCTCTTGATGCCACTAGTTGCGTTCTACCTGATATAGCCGTCAAACAGGTTGACCCATTGCTTGACATTCATATCACTCCAGCTTCTGTATCTAAAGTGATTTCCTGCTTAGACCCTTCTACAGCTTGCGGCCCGGACAACATACTTGTTTTAGTCTTGCAGAAGTGTTCTCCGGAGGTTAGTTTTTTATTTCTTAGTTTAATTTTTTGAAGTGGAAATTAATAACTAATTTTATCTAAATACTGCAACTGCAAGTAGCAACCGCTCTATCCAGACCTTTGTTGTTGCCATTGCCGTTGCAGTTTTTATATCATAAGCTCTCTAGTATTGAGAGAGGGTTGTAAACACAACTAAAGTAGCCTCCTCGACTGTAGTGACCTTCATGGTCACGAGAAAGTGAATTGAAAATAAATTAAAAAAATGATTTTAAACGGAGCCCAATATACAAGACTATTTAAGTGATGATGAAGTTACTTAGGTGTAAAATAACCAATGCCACCTGAGACTCAATAGCATCAAATGTTAGTGATCAACATTTAATGCTATTGAGTGTGGCATGGTTCCTGTTCTTAATGTGTTATACTTTTTTGGTTAAATAAACTATCTACATACATAATTATGAAAAACAAATAGAAAAAAAAATTTTTTTATTCTGTCAGAATTTGCAAAAACACTTCTATACATGTAGAATTTTTTCTTATTTGTTTAAAGGTGTTAAAAAATATATATATGAATAATTGGCCCTACTTGTAAAAAGAAAACATTTGTTGGAAACAAAAAAAATAATAGTAAGCAAACTCTTATAAATGAAGAAAAATTAAACTGTATGGTAACTTCTATATTGCAAAAATTTTAAGTCATTTATTCTAATATTTGAATAGATTCACTTTTTATACAATGAGTTGAATATTGTGAATAAAACTTTTAGGATGAGATTTCTGGGCGTGAAAAATCAACGAACGTGTGAATGTCTGCACAAAAAAAAACATAAAAACGAGCGTCACATTCCTAACGCAAACGTTGGCGTTTGCCTAAAATTTTTCAAAATGAACGCTTTACAGCAATTTTTTTTTTTTCCAATTAATTAACCATTGATCATTTTTTATTATAAAAAACACAAAAAAACAATTAATTACAAACAAACAAAAAAACAAAACAAAATAATTAATTACAAAAATTTTAAACGCATTTTCAAAGACTTTAAAAGAAAACACGCTAAAGCTACTTTTTTCAATGGAACGAAGAAAGTAATTATGTTTGAGCATGGTTTTTGCATGCATTTAAAAAAGAATTCAAAATTTTATTTAAAACGACTGCATTTGCAATTACTTTAAAAAAAACCATGCTTAAACTTAATGATTGCTTTTTTTAATAGCATATACTTTTTTTTTTTTTTTTTTGTTATTTTCTTTAAAGTGAAGTAATGTTAGTTACATATTAAAAAAACTTATAAAAGTTTTAAAAATAATGTTCAAGTTTTGCAAAAAAATAATCTATAAATACATAAAATATAGAATATATAAAGTTACTATGTTTATTATACTCTTAATTTTTTTATTGTGCATTTAACAACACCATTAATATGACATTTTTATTAAGTTATTATTAAATACTTAATATACTATTATTTTTAAAGTTTTTAAAAAAATGTCAAAATAAATAAGCATCTTTTCGATGTTAAAGAAAGATGGTACAGAGGAGCGTAGCATTAAACGTAAAGGAGAAGAATAGAGTGAAACTAAACATGCGAAAAAACAGAACAATGACTTGGATTGTGCAATGACTTTAGAAAATTTAGATATATGGCCAAAAGATATCGAATTTATGTTTTGAAACACCGTAAATGGATTGCTGCCAAGCAATAAAAAACACAAATCAAATGAATGTTTATCTTGCTGGGTTTGCCAAAAGTATCCAAATATTAGCAATGTAACCAATTCAGTAACAATGGGATGTAAATTTTGGAAAAGAACATATTTGTTACGCCACAATAAAGATGATGGGCATAAAGCCTGTATTTCTAAATATCGAGAGAACCTACACAATATAGCTCCAAGTCTTGAGAAAATTGTATCGACATCAATTTAAAGAACTACTGAAAATAACCAAGAAGAATTGAACAGACTTTTTCGGATATTGTATTTTGTTGTTAAAGAGGATCTTGCATTTAAAAAGTTTCCTCAGCTGTACGAGCTACAAAAGCTAAATGGAAGTTGGGCAAGAACTACTTAAGTGACAAATCTTGCAAAAACTTTGTTTCGTCAATTTCTTCTGGCTTAAAACGTGAATTAAGTTTAGTCATATCAAATGCTCCTATTATTACAATTTTATCTGACGGTTCCACTGATAAGAGTATTAGTGAACAAGAAACAGTTTTTTTAAGGTTTGTTAAAAATGGTAATCCGATACTATATTTGCTGGTATTAACTTACCACTGACAGTTGATGCCGATTGGATATTAAATGCAATAGAACTTGTTTTAAAAAGTTTAACAACAGACAAAATAAATCAAGACTTATATTTAAACAATATCTATGCAAAAACTGTTAACTTTGATGGTGCATCTGTAATGTCTGGCAATAAAGCTGGTGTTCAAACTAAAATGCGAAATAAAAACCCCAGTATAGTATATACCTACTGCGTGGCGCATAGATAAACAGCTTGGGAGATTGAAAAATATTTGTTGGTTAGCTAGCTAGAAATTTTAATTTGTGAGAATTTTGCGTAAAGTTGATGCAAGAATTGCTGTACCAGACGCGTTATCAGTAAATCCAGGCTCGAATATTGGATGTTTACTAGATAATTTAGAAGTAAAAGAAGATCAGTTAATCTACAAATTTAACAGCATTAATAAAGCGTAATTTAAAGAGAATTGATGAGTTAGTTAGATAACAACTAAATGATTATTTTGATTATTATAATAAAAAATATTTTATTAAAATTATTTACTGAGCAAAAGAATATAAGACAAGCGATTCCACCGTGATTTCAATCAAGAGCCATTAAAATCTTTAACCACAATCTTTGATTGTCAAAACTGGCCAAAATCCTTTACAGGTTCGGTAGAGATAAAAAAATGGGGATTTAATAAAATAAAAAGTGTTTCAACTTTTATGAGAACAATAATATGATAAGCAGAGAAATTTCTAACTTATGTGTATTGCAGTGGCCTTTATTCAGGGAGAAAGTCTCTAAACTAAGGACAAATTTACTTTTAAGCATTTATAAAGATATCTTGCTGGAAAATGAACCTGAATTGGCAAGTATAAATCTCTTGTTAGAGATTTTGCTAACTTTCAGCGCTTCAACGGCAAGTTGTGAATGCAGTTTTTCTTATATGAACTTACAAAAAAATATTTTGCGAACTTCATTAAATGACAACACCTTTGAAGTTATTATGCGTATAAAGCTTGATGGCCAGTTGATTGAAGACTTTTTATCCCAAAAACATGTCAAAAATTGAATTGACGCTGTGGTTGGTATTAGACATTTGGAAGGCCATAAATTAAAAAGTTCTAGCGATTTTTAAACCCATTTATATAAACATAAAAATTAATATATAAGTACTAATGAGACGTCATTTTGTAATTTATTTCTTTAGTTCCTTTTATTTTAATTTCTTCACGTTTATACGTATATTTTATGAGTAAATAAATTTAACAAACTAAATTAAAAAAAAAAGTTTTGTATTGTTGAATAACAGTTTACAACCATTGCATATTAAAAATCAATAATTTGCGCGCATTTTGAAAATGCGTGAAAAATTGTTTCGAAAATATGACAATTGATTAAATTCAATAACCATCTTTCATATATCCAAAAGCTTATTAACTAGAATAAAAATTTATTTGAATATAAAACTCCTTTATTTAACACGTATCACTTAAATTAGACATTTGTCAATAATTTAAGATATGAAGGTCAACGTCCGTGAAAAAAAAACGATTTGTTGCGCCCTGGATTTTTGGATTGATTAAAGACTCTGATTAAAGATTCATATTACTCATTATATATAGATTCATATTACTCACTAAATATAGTGTTGCATTATAAACGATCCCTTAATTGTTTCAGTTATTTGATAACTCTTTAAAAATCAGAAATAAATGAAACTTTAAAGAAATATCTGGAATTCCAAAGTTATCTGGAAAAAGATGCAGACAAGAACTTATCATTATCAAGTTTATCAATAAGGTAACTAAGCTTATTTTTAAAATACGCATAAAAACCTATTGATAATCTACTGCTGTTTTTAATGCTAAAAAATCACCACAAAGAGGTTAGATTTAGTTTATGAATGTAAAAAGTTAAATATTTCATCATAAATGGTGAACAAAACAATACTTGTTAATAACATATATATAACAACATATTCATAAAAAATTTTATCTATAAGTAAAACATGCAAATTAAACAAAACTTGTATTATTATTAAGGAAATAAATACCTCAAAATCATTGTAAATGCAATGGTTTTTAAGAGTAACAGCTTTTTCATTTGTTATACAATAGTCCCAGCCAGCAAATACTTTGTTGCAGTAAGAATAAAAGAAGCCCCCACTTTCTATAACACTCTCTGTGAATCCTTGAGACAGGCTGAATATAACATTGATACTTAATATTTTGTTGATACACTAATACAAACACTAATACTAATAAACTAATACAAGTAAAACAAAAATAAAAAATAAAAGTGATTTATGCAACATAAAAGCAAATTTTATCTCTAAATAGTTCCCTTTCTTTACATAGTTTTTTATTTTCTCAACCTTTAATACTAAATTTAATCACAACCAAACCATCCTTAAATTGTTTAGTGAACCACTATTTTATGATTGCTTTTAAACAGTACAAAACCAACCATTTTTAAGTTAACAAATAACTCTCCTATGATTGCTTAAAAACAGTACAAAGCTACAGTACAGTTATTAAGCAATCATAGGAGAACAAGGCAGAACAAGGTTCCCACTATGAAAACGTAAAACTTTTTTAAGGTTTTTTTTGTTTACCTTTTAGCACTAAAAAATAAAAGGTTGCAGATTAATATTTATCTTTTTCAAGAATAAATTCTCAATGCAAAAGCATTGGATGACAAATAAATTATTTTTCTTAAACTCTTGGTTGTAAGTATTCTAGCAGAATTTCTTGTGCATTTTTTAAAATTATAACTATTAAAATTATAAAATTTTATTTTCTAGTAGAAAAAAATAATTATTTAAAATTTAGCATAATAAAATTTAAAAATAAAAAAAGTTCTCATGTTAAAAAAAATTATATTTACTTTTTTACCATCATTAACAGACTAAGAAGAATGTAAGATCCGCCAACCAAAATATATGCAAATGGAATATCATATGAATGTCCACTTTTACTGTAAACCACTTGATCGCCATAATTACTGTAGAACATTAGTGTTGTGTTTATGAACCCCTGTTAAAAGATTTTACATATTTTTAGCACATAAAATATAAATATACAAAGTGTTGTTAATTTATATATTACACTGATGCAGTGAGGATGTCATAATAAAAAATACTCAGTCCTGTTCTACAAAATAATTTAATATTTGCAAAGGCATCAATTATTAAAACATGTTTTAAACTTTTCTTAATATCTTTTTCATTAAGAAATTGATAATACAAAAACTGCCTAAGTTAAACAAGGCTTAAGTTATGCAATTGTCAAACAACAGATGTTAAACTTAAAAAAAATAAAAAATACAATTTCAGTACACTACTCTAATTTAAATGGCTTTCTATAAATAATTATTTTTAACTTTAAATATGTTGGTTTTATAATCACAATGCAGTGGTAAGAAGCTGAAGGACAAGTCAACCATACACCGCAACTATAAAACTTGTCATTGGTTAGTTTTCACTTACGCTCACTAAAGCATGTTTAACAAAAAAAAACTTTATAAAATATTTATTCATATGTAAGCCTCAGAATTAAGAAAAATGAGGTCGGCAATAAATTGCCTACCACAAACTGTTAGAGGTCGGCAAAAAAATTTGATACAAACGTGTTACCATAAAACATAGAAACGAGGTCGGTAATTTTTTGCCTACCTTAAACACTTTAAGGTTGGCAGTTAGGTTGAATCTGCCAAATTACAAGGGTTGCTTACATATAGTGGATTGTTATGGGCTGAGTATGCATATAGACAGAAAAAATATAAATATCTAAATAGAACACAAGAATATAGACTGAATGTATAAAATCTGATATAAAATCCAGTGGCAAAATAAGATTTCAAAGAAAAAATGTTGGATCAATGTCATTTTTGTAGAGGTTCATTCAATGGATCTAACAATATAGTGAACATAACAGCAAAGTTGATGTAAAATTCAGCAAAAACTTTTTCGAACCAAACAAGATTGGAACTAATAATATTATACTAACAAACACAAATACTGATTATTTCTTTGCACACATACATCTCAGAGACTTTTAGTATTTTTTCCCCTTTCTAACTGCACAACTGTTTAATTTTACTTTTTTTTTACCATTTCTAGCACTACATTCATTTTAGATTGCCAAGTCCTGTAACAGGGTCATGAAATAATTGGCATAGAGAATGCATGACATAAATTAATAAGATAATTAATAAGATACAGTAATCTGTAATTTTGCTAAGAAAAAATCACACAAGACAACCTTGTTTTAACTTAAAATTTGTTTTATTTAGCCACATTTATATTATTTATAGATCTTCTAAAGTCTCTTCTGTGCAAATTTAAACTTTCTTTTTGAAATCTTTTTATTTGAACTGTATTTAGCATCTTGAAAGACACTAAACACAATTTTATTGTTAACAAGGAAGTGGGGCAAAAAAGATTTTTGCATCAGTACACTTTTATCTTCTCTATAGTCCTGTGTAAATAAGACAACTCTCCCACCCTTGTCATATTAACAAAGCTTCAAAACATCAAACTATACTATCTGTCTTGTAGTACAATATTCAACATGTTTTTCTTAAAGCAACTTTTATTATTGTATTTCAAAATTTAATACAACTTAATAAAAAGTCTAAAAAAAAGCCCACTAAAATTAAACTAAACCCATATCTGTAAAGGTCATATAAATATAAAAATTGTCAAGATATATTAATATAAAAATTTTTTAAAAAATGTAATGAATAAAGAAACAAAAATTACCTGACCAGTAACAAAATCCAACATTTGATTAGCTATAGAGTGATTAACATAAGAAGCTACTTGTTTTAAACAACTTTCAGTATTGTTGGAATTTGGTCTTAACAGATTGTGGTTTATTAGTATTTGAGGTATGACAACAAAACTGAACTCAACTATAAAGATGCCAATATTTAGAAAGAGCAATGACTTTAAGAACACAAAGTAAGAGAGAACGCCATTTCCAAAATTTGCTGTAAAAGTGTAAAAAAAAAAAGAAATATATTTTCTAATAAAACAAACTGCTATATTTATCAACAAACAAAAAAATTAATAACTATATTCTATCAACTATAATGGTCTCAACTACAGTGGTCTCAACTCAACTATAATGGTCTGAACTCAACTATAGTGTTTCAACTCAATTATAGTGGCCTTAGAGTTTCAAAAAAACACAATTTTTTTGTTTTGAGTCAAAAAAAAGTGTTTGTTGGTCTTTTTTTGCATTTTTTGGCTTTTTTGGTGCTTTCTGCTTTTTTATAGTAATTTTTTTTCAGCATAGGAGTATTTTTTATTTATTCTGGTATATTTTTAGTATATGATTATTAAAAGCACAACTACATGTATAAACACCAATTTAACATATATATTTTTATATATTTTATATACTTTTTAAATCTAGGCATACTGAATAGTAATGTTTGTTTGTCATGTTGCACTTCATAACCACTGTGATACAATCATTATATATAAAACTATTCTTATCCTATGAAAAAACTAACATTTTAATTTTGATAATATAAATATATTAGTGTATAATACGATGCCAATTTAATATCAGACTTCAAAGCTCAAAGAAATAAACAAACCTTTTTTTTTCTTTTTTTTTTTTTAACATTTTTGCTTCCAACAAGGCTGCAAGTAACCACTATTAGAGTTGGAAGTTACTAGAAGAGAAAAGATGAAGACTGCAGAGCAAAATAATGATTGACAGACAACTTAAAAGATTGCAAATTATATGAATCAGGATAGCAAGATAAAGGAAGCAAATTCCAAAAAACTGATGTTTGAGAAAAAAAATCACAAGACCAGATCCAATTATGTTTACAATGCATTTTTGCACCTTGTCTAAAAGGGCATCACTAGAAGATCTGCCCCAGATATGGTAGCAATATTCCATACAAAGCCAGGTTGGAGATTTATAAAGATAGAGAATAGAATCCAGAGTAAGAAATTGTGAGCTCAATAAAGAGATGCAACCTTCGCAGATACTAATTTTGCAACAGATTTGATATATGGTTTCCAAAAAAGATCGGAAGAGTTAATCCTAGAAGACGAAGGGTAGATGACTCACCAAGTACATTACTGTTCATAAATAAAGAAAGATTTTAATTATTGTGATAACAATTGGCTGAAAAAAAATTGAGTTTTATCTAAATTAAAGCTCACCAGCCACTGTGAGCCTCATGCTGTAGTCAAAGTGAGATACTTTTCAAGCTCAAATGCCCCCTTCAAGCAATCAGAGAGTGTTGGCTTCTTATTAAGACAAGAAGTATCATCAGTAGTATTATCATGGTATCATAGTATCATGGTAGTATCATCAGCAAACAATCCCACCTTAGATGTAAGAATATCTGGAAGATCGTAAATATAAATTAAAAAGAGTATAGGGCCAAGGATTGAACCTTGAGGAACCCCTGAAGTTACAGAATATGAAGAAGAGTACTGTTCATCGAAGACAACTATTATACTATGATTGGAAAGGAAGGATTCAATAATCTTGAAGATATTACCAGATACACCGTAAGAAGAAAGCTTATAGAGAAGACCAGCATGCCAAACTTTTTTAAAAGCTATAGAAATGTCTAGATGGCCTTAACCTCTCCACCTTTATCTAATGCATGATAAAACCTATCGGTTATTACTTTTAGTAAATCAGCTGTAGTACAAGAAGATCAAAATCCATATTGATGATCAGAAAGTAAATTATTAAATTCAAGATGAGAGATTAAGTGTTTGTTAATTAAAGATTCAAAAACCTTGCTTATGATAGGAAGAAGACTAAGGGGAAGGTATTTTTGAAAACAGATATAACAGATGCCGATTTCCAGCAGGCTGGAAAACAAGACTCTGATAAACACTTGTTAAATAGTTTTGAAAGTATAGATTCCATGCTAGCCTGAATCCATGAGGTTAAATAAGAAGCACATTTGTCAACAGGAAGACGAAAGATTTCTACCCAAGGAGTCATCACGAAGAAAGTCACGGAAAGAGCCCTAGTCAGCTTTAAGGTAGTTGTAAGAAGTACAATGATAGGGGGATTCAGATGATGAAGAAGAATGAGATAATAGTTTTAAAGAGATCAAACCGTGATCAAAATCACCTAAGGGTGAATTTGGAGAGAATGAGCAATGACTAGGATCAGAACAATACATAAGTCGAGTAGAGAAGGTAAATGATTCAGGTTGTCTGGAAAGCGAGTTGGAATGTTGACTATTTGAGTTAGGGATTGAGAAAGGGTGGGCTTTAATGCCCACAACATTTGCCTTTCTCAATCCCTGACACTAGAGCCAAGCCATTCAGTGTGATGAGCATTAAAATCACCAACAACAACAATATTGGCTGATGGCTAAAGAATGAGGGCTTGGTCAATATAATCAGAAATAACATCAAGAAGAGTGCAGTCTTGAGATGAAGGAGAGCGATATAGAACAAAGAGAAAGGTGATAGAGTGAAGTGGTGCTAAACAAAAGCACATAAAAGAATAGTCTGTGGGTTCAAACCTAGTTTCCCGACATGAGTGAACACTTATAAATGTAAATGCCCAGGCCAGGCATGTGACTATTGGAGTTTTTTCGAATTAAAGGAAGATAACCATCAACACTAAGATCACAATGTGAGAAAGCAGAACGCAAAATTAAAGTCTAACAAAGAGCAAGGTCTGGTGAATTTTGCAAGAGATAAGACTCAACAGAAGAAAAGTTACTTGGAAGACCACATATATTAATGAATGATAGGTTTAGAGAACTTGGTGATGACAATAGTTTTTTGTGTTTTATAGTTTTTGGTACTTTAATCATTTTTAAATTTGTTAAAGAACTTTATTCAAAGCGTAAATAGTATTCGGTACACTGTTTAATAGCCCAAGCAATTGCCTCTTTACTATTAAGCCATAACAAAGGGCTTCAAATGTGGCCTGAGTTTTAGAGCTGTACTAGGAGATAATAGAATGAGTTGCCGTGTCATAAAAACAGAAACAAAAGCAAAACCCATGCATAGAGTCAAGAAGATCCAGCATTCAACATCAAAAACTGGAAACAAAGTATTAAAAATACATCTGTGCCAGCCTAATAGATGAAAAAGGGGTGCGAGGCTGGTCAACAGATAGAATCTGTTTACCCCTTAAGTCTTTGTCTAGGAGGCCTTCTACAAGACAGTAGCCAGATGCAATTAACATCTGCCCAAGATAAGTATTTTTATTGAGACATTATTCCTAGCCTTTACTCAACCAAGTGCCCCAAGGCCGAGGGTGTTTTAAGTCGGCTTCTCCTAGCCTATGCCTAAAAACCTTACTAAACCTATTGATTCTTTATTTTTTTGAGCATTTGTATATTTTGTAGTGATTTAGTCTTGCATTGTTTGTTATATTTGTCAAAAAAATATATATTTCTAGTAGGCCCTTATAAAAAAAAGCCCTATATTGTAATTTATTTTAAGAAAAACTTTAAAATTTTGAATTAATATTATTTACTGAGTTTCCCAGACCATTTTCATCTGATGATTAGTAACTTATTCATTCATAATTTATCTTTTTATTTGCATTTTTTTTACATTTAGAAATTTTCTTATAGTTCTATATTAGGACACTTGTAAAATTTTTCAACTTGCTTTGTTGTTCAAGGTCATTTTTTTTTTGGATTTATATAAATATTCTGTTAAAAAGTCTTTTCATTTGCTTAATTGATCTCTTTGGATCTCACTTCTGTAACAGATTAGATCACACAATGACTTTTAAATTTTAATTCCAACAAAACTCATTATTTACTGCAAACAACTATCACAATACTGTCGACATTCCTATATCAATGAATGTCAAACCCTCTCACTGAGTCCTCTTCTTTATGTCTTGTAACTATATATACAATCGATTATTTAACGTCATGTAAACCATATATACAATCGATTGCTAAACTAGCATCTGCTAAGGTTGATGCTTTTTATCGTGCTTGCCATTTTTTTATCCATTCTCTACCTCTACTAATCTCTTATTTGTCCCTGTATAAAATACTATTGTCATACTGGTTCTTCTAATGATGCTCTCCCTCTTCTACACAAGACTCAACAACACATTGTAAATGTAGGTGGTTCTGCTCTATCTCTTAAGCTTGAACCTCTTTCCCATCGTCATAAATTTGCATCTCTTTCTCTTTCCTACAAATACTATCATGGCAGCTGCTCAAAGGAGTTATCTTTTCTAGTTCCATCAACTAAAACTTTTTTTTGCTTGACTTGTCATTCTCTAAGTCTCATTGGCTTATTACATGCTCTAATAACTTTTATTTGCCTAGTTTTTTCCCATGCATTTAAACCCTTTAGAACTTTTTCCCATCTCTTCATGTTTTCCTGACTTATACAATCTACAATTCTTTAAGTCTTCTGTCAATCGTTTCCTTGCTCTATAACTCTATTCTTTTTTCCAATTAACTCTTAAATTAATAGTGGTTGCTTGCAGCCTTGTTGGGAGTGAATCAGAATTACAAGAACCAAAAAAAAAGCGTCACATCTTTAAGTGGTCTCAACTCAATAACATTGATCTCAGTTCAACTATAGTGGTCTCAACTCAACTAGAGTGGTCACAACTTAACTATAGTGGCCTTAACTTAACTATGGTGTTTTTCTGAGCCTTGTGGTGAGAATTATACATATACATATATATATATATATATATATATATATATATATATATATATATATATATATATATATATATATATATATATATATATATATACATATACATATATATATATATATATATATATATATATATATATATATATATATATATATATATATATATATATATATATATATATATATATATATATATATATATATATATATATATATATATATGTATATATATATATATATATATACAACCCTCAGAAGTAGGAAAAATGAGGCAATATTTTGCCGATTTAAATCTGTTAGAGGTCGGCATCAGGTCAGCAAAAAAAACTTGGTACAAAGGTTTTACCATAAAACATAGAAATGAGGTTGGCAATTTTTGTCAATCTAAAACACTTCTAGGTCAGCAGTTAGGTTGGCCTTGCTGAACGCACTTTTTTTTCTTAAAAGTAATGTTTTCATAGTAATGTACGTCACGCAAAGTTTGTCTTTTGAATAGAAGCATGATTGTTTGCTCTTTCGCGCGGAGATTTTTAATCAACGTAAAGCACTTTTTAATTTAAATTACTTTAAATCTCTGTGAAGAAGCAAAATAAATAGACAAAAGTTAAAAATAATTTTTTCTTCATTCTATTTTTTTTGTTAAAACAGCATTTTTATCTTTTTTTAAAAGAAACGTTGCTCCTAATTATTAATAATGATTTAAACTATTATTTTATAAACAATTTTATACAATTATTTTTACTTCTTTAAGTATAATAAAATATATATAAATTCGTTTTTATTAAATAAAATTTCTATTAGTAAAATTGTGCTAATAGAAACCAGCAACTTTTTGGCTTTCACGTTTTTCGCTTTAACGACCTTAAAACTATTGAAGTTATATTTAGTTAACTTTACTGAATGGATAGAGTATATCACAGTAAATTAACTTATAACCTAAATCTTAACAACCAGTTAAGTCAAGATAGTAATTTACAGTTACTCAAGTATTAATTTAACAATTATATTAATTTATTTAATGTACTCGCAAAAGTTAGCCATAGACATGTTTCAATTTAGATCTTACATGTTGTTAACACATAATATAAGCTTTTAATTAATAATTATTTTAACAAAAATTGTTGAATAGAATATAAAAAATGCGACACCACTTTTTTATATTTTCATTTTATATATAGCGACAATTAGACTAAACATTTTCTATAAATACACAATTGTTTTCATGAATTTTATTTAAAAAGAAATCTATTTTAACAAGAGAACTTTAGCCTTAAAACTCACTTATTCAAATAATTTTGTGATTGAAATTTGAAATTTAAACAAAAATTAAAAATTAAAAAAAAGTTTGATGAAACAAGGGAGAATGAAGAAGAAAGTTTTTTTTTCTTGAATCGTAAATTTTGTTAACGTTTTGAATTACATTTTTTTTTCTTAAAAATAGTTTTAAAAGTAGAAACAATCTATTGCAAACATCAAAGCAGTGATTGCAAATTGCAAGTTAAAATAAAAATTATAAAAAATTTAAAATAAATTTAATAAATTATTTTACTTCTGTTCGAAAAATTTTTTCTAAAAAAATAATTTAAGCATATTCTTATACTTAATATAATTCGATAAATTAAACAAAATTTTTTGTTTCACTTTTTTTTGGAAAACAATTAGAATAAAAAAAAATTGAATGAAAACATCAGTTTAAAAACCATTTGAATGAAAAACTTAATTATACTTAAATTTTTAATAGTACGCTTGAACAGGAAAGGATAATTTATAAAAAACGTGGTATCTAATATTTTTATGCTTTGATCTTACTCGTTTGGTCTATAGATTATAAACTCCTATAGGTTTATAGGTGCAAATATGAAGTTTTGTTTTAGTTTATTAACTAGATCAATTTTATTTATTTGCTTCCTTTTATTTTAAACGTGTTTTATTTTATAAACTGTATAAATCAACACGAAACAGCGTCACGAATATGTTTTACATTAACCCAAGTTCGTTATATTTTTAAAACAACTTTGCAGTTAGTTTTAATGTTATTTTATAGTTTTTAACAATTAAATACTTTTTAAAATTAACACATGTTTTAACATCAGAACGTATTAAATAGTTTTCTTTGACTAATTGAAGTGGTTTAGACATTGTAATGTTGCTTTTTCTCTTACATTTTGACTTATACTTTTCTAAGTATCATTTTAAGTAAAAATATACTAAAAGAAATATCTTGATAGTATTAAAAACGTTATTGCTTATTACAACTGCAACTTAAACTTTAAGTAATAACTTAAGTTATAAATAATAACAGTAACTTACGCTATTTTAAACTCTGCCAAACAAGAAAATTATAAGATTATAATTAAATATAAGAGATAATATGTTAAAAATAGAACTATTACGTACAAAAGTTACAATATTATACTAACACAACTTATAACGCAACTTATAATGCAAGGTATAAGGGGGGGGAGGAGGTAAAAAAAAACTTTTTTCGCGATTAGATTTTTATGCATTAATTCGAGCCCTGTTTTATATATATATATATATATATATATATATATATATATATATATATATATATATATATATATATATATATATATATATATATATATATATATATATATTTAAAAAACATTAAAAAATAAAAAGTCTTTAAGAAATCTAAAATTATATTTAAACTTTATAAAATTATTTTTAAATGTTTTAAAATCAACTAAAATAAATCAAAAAACCTTCCACTTCTTTAAATTGTCCTCTCCATAGTTCTAAGCCATTAAACCAATCCTTTCCACGAGATTTGAATAAGGCCAATGCCTGATTGAATAATAAAACACATTAATTAAAAGATAAGGTTTATAATTCTTTATTTATAACATTTACATTTGTATAAAAGATAATTGGAAACAGTTCATAATAATACTAAAACAACTCTAGTAAAGAGTTGTGATCATCTTTTTCTGGTCTGTACAGGATTTTTTAAAATGTTGAGAGAAATATGGATAAGTTGTAATGGTACCATTCAACTAATTGAAATACAAACATAAAAGTTTTTGTTAGATATTAGTAGAAATTTAACACAGTTTTATTTCTTCCCTGTTAGATTAATGAATATGAAGTTTCTTATATTTTTTTAAATATGTTTACTACACTCATTTATTACCTTTAAATAAATACAAGTAACATTAAACATCAATTATTAAACATGACACAAACAAAATATAGGTTAGACACAAACATAATATAGGTTAGACACAGACATAATATAAGTTAGACACAGACATATTATGGGTTAGACACAGAAATATAATGGGTTTGAAACAGAAATAATATAGATTAGACACAGCATTAATATGGGTTAGGCACATACATAATATGGATTAGACCTTAGTCCAACCCATATTATGTCTGTGACATAATATGGGTTAGACAAAGGTCTAACCCATTATACAACATTATATAGGTTAGAAACTTAGAAGACAAAAAAAAAACACAAAAAACACAAAAACTTCGAAGAGACACTAAAAAAATCTGTTATTTAATATAACTTTAGGCATACATAGAAATAATTTCTTGTTAACACTGTTATGTTTTTTTTTTTGTTTTTTTTGAAGATTATTTATTCTGAATAATTTTTTTAAACATTAATCTAGAGTACTATATTTCATGCAGATTTAAAAACATACAATTTATAATTTATTTTATAAATAAGTATAATTTAATATTCTTTTAAAAAACTATATTTTACATATTCTTATAAATTATGTTAAAATTAAACTATATAAGAAATTTTAGTTTTTTTAAAATTATATTGTTGTAACTGTATTGCAATTGATAAAAAATGTTTTTAACATTTCTATTTAATTGAAAAATATTTTTAGTTAACAAAAAAACAATTTGATTTTCAAACATTTTAAATGATAAAAATTCATGTTTATATTGAAAATAAAAATTTTTGTATTTAAACTTGATTGTTGTTTTAAAAACATGTTTTTTAATTCAATTTTTTTTTTTTTTTTTACATTTTCAACCTAAATAACAAGTATTTGTAATTAAATATATAGAAAACTATTTGTACTTGAATTTGTTATTGTGAATCTAAAAAAAAAACACTTGATTTCATATTTGCATTTAGCCAAACAAATTCAGACAATTATAGTTGTCAACTGTGACCAATGGTAACCAATCAGGTGACCAATGGTAGCCAATAAGGCTTTGTCAAACTATTTGATTTTTTTTTAATGTTTTTACAAAAACCTGATATATGAAAAACATGTGTACAATTATCAAACTTGAAACTAAATTACAAATTAAAAAAAAATTGTTTTATTTATATTGATATATTTTATTCTATTTTAATTAAGAAAACACAAGTCTATTATTTTAAACCAATTATTTTAAATTAAAGAAATTGCAACTACTTTTATATCTTATTTAAATTTAATTCAATATTTTTTTATCAAATATAATGATCATTTAAATACTGGTAACTCTTTAACGCAGATATTTATATAAAATTTAAGACAGGAACTTATTTAAACCACTAATAGTTATTTTAAAACAAAACAAAAAAAGCTGTAACTAACATTTTAGAATATGTCTTTTTCTCATTATTTTTATTATCAATTATTATATAATTTATAACATTTTCAAATAAATTTTAAATAAACTCTTCAAAGTTTCCCCAAAACAAAAATTGGAGTTTAATGTTTGTACAATGCGCAAATAAAACTTAAACTTTAATATATTTTTTATTAGTTGATTTTTTAATTGCCACACATCTTTTTAATTGCCATGTATCTTTTTAGGATCTTTAGCAATTATTATTACTAAAGATCCTAAAAAATAAGGAAAGAACAAAAGTTTAAAAAGTTTTTTTCTTTCATAAATAATTAGGAAACAACAAAAGTTTTATAATAATAAAAATTTCATTAGAGAGTTATAGAGAATAGAACAGAACATAATAACAACATACCATTGCTGTCCTTAATTTTAATGCTTTCCAATAAGAAAGTTCTTTTCCTGGATATTTCATAGATGTTCTTCTTAATTTTTGAATGTTCCTAATATATGTATATATATATATATATATATATATATATATATATATATATATATATATATATATATATATATATATATATATATATATATATGTATATATATATACATATATAACATATATTTTTATATGTATATATAAAATATATAAATATATAAATATTCTAATAAAAAAGACAACTTTTTTAATTTTTGTTAAAATCATTTATTTTGTAATACATGTTTCGACTATATCATAGCCATCATCAGTTAAAATATATTAAAATGCTTAAATCAATTGTTTAAATTAAGATGAACTAATGGAGACCTTATAATAAAAAATACAATAAAAATGCAATTAAAAAATGTAACAAATGTTTTAAAAAAGATAAAAGATAAAAGAACCGATAATGTTAAAAGGAACTAGATTGAAATTGTCATTTTTACATAGTTCATTTGTTTATTAATAGTGGGTTTTTTCCACTCTATGTACATGCTTTCTTTGAGTTGTAATATAAATTTGTTGGAGGCCAAATCCAAGATTGAAAAGTTAGCATAATTAAAACTATTAAAACAGCTTTTATTTGAATGAATATGTTTATAAATGTGTGAGTTTTTATCTCTTTTTTGGTGCTCGATTATTTAAGTCTTTAAATGGCAAGTAGTTTTGCCAATATAACAGGATTTACTGCCTGCACATTCAAATTTATAAACAACGAATGAAATAAAGTCTGTAGGAATGGGATCTTTTGTGGATAAAATTTTTGAAATTTTAAACGAAGTAAAAACCAATATTACGGTGACCGATTTACAATATCTTTTAATGACTGCATTTAGTCTTTGTTTGGTTCAGTCTGATATTTTTCCAATATAAGGAAGTTTAAAATATTGATAATTTTGTAGGTTTTTGGAACGTGATCCTATGTTTTCTTAATCAACCAAGACAGGTACAAGTTGTGTTTAAGAACTTTAAAAAGATCGTTAATATCATGACTAAGACCAAGACTAGTGTTGTTAATTTTATAAGCTCTATCGATTAAACATTTAACCAGACTAACTTTCTATGAAAATAAGTAAAACTAAAAAAATTTGTGTAGAGTACTGGGAAAGTTTTTTTTATGAAAAACAGTGGTAATTGTAGAATTGTTTGTTTTATTTAGAGATAGGTCCAAAAAAAGATATTTTTGATTGAATTTCTTTTTCCATTGTAAAACTAATAGAACTTTGTTTATTATTGATATATTCTAAAAATAAATCGGCGTGATTTTCGGAAGTGAAAGCAGCAAAAATATCATCTACGTACCATTTATAAAAAAGCTTGTTTTTCTCCGTTATATGATTTGAGCCATTTATCGTCAAAATTTCCCATGAAAAGATTAGCAATAACAGGTGCTAAGGGAGAACCCATAGCAACACCATCAATTTGGTCATAAATTTGTCCTTTGAAGAGAAAATGAGTTTGAGACGTTGCAAAACTGAAAAAATTTTTAAGTCACTTTTACTAATTTTAAGATTAACTTTACTATTTATAGTTATTTTTACTAATTTTAAGATTAACTTTACTATCTAAAAAAGCATGGAATTCTAAAAAATTTATGTCAAAATCCAGATATCATTATTTTAAAACCAGATAAAGGAAATGGTGTGGTTATTCTCGATATATATATATAATTAATAATACTGAACTTAATAGTGTTAGTAGTAGTACTCTTTTGAGCCTGTTTGACATGGTACCCTTGGCAGACATTGCAAGTGAGGTAACAACAAGAAAGAGTTGCAGTAGCTTTGTTTTATAAGAAAACATGAACAAACGCGTATCCAAATATCTAACGTATGTAAACTTTAAATTAAAATGATAAAACATATGTTAAAGCATACTGAAACATTTATCAAGTTTTACAGTTTGATTTTAACTTTAAAATTGCATCGCGTCAAGCGCTCCTTATTTTTAATGTATAACATTTTTTCCCTTAGAAAAAGCATTATACTATTTCTAAAATATTTGCTTGAGAATGTGCCAGTGTGACTGAGTGGATAAGGTGCCGAGCTTCTGAACAAGTAAGCCAAGGTTCAATTCCTACCACTGGCAACTTTTTTTTTTTTTAATTTTTTTCGATTATTTTAAAATACAAAATACTTTTGAAATTTTATAGAGATAATATACAAACATCTGTAATAATAGTTTACACTTTTACAAAAGAAAAGATTTAAAGAAAGCTAAAATTTCATAATAAAATATAAAAAAAAACATCACTGGTAGAAAACATTTGTGTATGAGGCATGATTGAGATACTTATGTTATTGATATGCTCAGGTAATTAGTCCTAATAAGCTGCAGATGGTCTAAAAAAAAAGTTGTCGGCAACTTAATGAAGAAAAAACTTCATTAAGAAAGTCCTGCTGCTCAAGAAGGTGCTGCTGTTGAGGCAAAAAAAAAAAAAAAAAAAAAGCCCGAAGCTAGATAAAATTTCAAAACTTTCTTTTTACAATTAAAAGTTTATTTTGCTAATTTACTTTTTTACTATAAATATATGCTGCAACTGACTAAGCTTATTAAATTATAAAGAAATATAAATACAAATACCAAAACAAATATGAGGTTAATAAAATATAGAACTATAAAAAAAATTGATTTTTATAAATAAAATATTAGGTATACATGTAAACACGGGCAAAAAAAATGTAATAAATAATTGACAAAATTCAAAACTCCAGCTAAAATTATGCCGGATTTGCTAAATTTTTGCCGAAGCCTGATTTGTAAAAATGGCCGGATTTCGGCCGGAGCAGGAGCCGGAGCCGAAATCCGGTACAGCCCTAGTTCAGTGCATTTCAAAATTTTAAGTATACTATATCAATGTTTTCAAAGAAATATTATATAAATCATTTTTTAATATACAACTAATTTTTTTTGAAACATTATTGTATAGGTAGGTTTGGCGCTTAACCATCCTTATATAAACAATATACAGTGACGCTCAAAAGTCAGTTGACATTTGAAAAAAGTGAATAATCAGGCATTATTTTATGAATGAGAAGATATTTATGGGTAGAAAGTATTTAGTTTAATAGAAAACAAAAAAAATATTTGAAATAAAAATAGAACAGCAGTCGATTAGAACAATTAAAAAATAGGTAAAACCCAAAAAAGTGCTGCCCAAAAGTTTGTTGACAGCAACAAGAACACAAGTTTAAACAAAATAGTTTTGTTATTTTGGTGCAAATGCAATCCATTTAATATTTTGTTGGTCTGCCTTTAGTATTGATAACTGCTTGCAAGCGTTTTGATATCGAAAGTACTCATTTCTGAATGAAATTAATGTCAATTTCATCCCAATGATGTTTGATTGTTGTAAACATGTCATTTTTTGACTTTCTTTCGTTTTGAGGAATAGTTCTATCCAAGTATTCCCATACATTTTCCATTATATTTAAATCTGGCGATTGAATAGGCCAATCGAACTTGAAAATTTCATGATCAGGGAACCAATCTTTGACGATCTTTGCTGTATGTTTTGGACCATTATCCTACAGCCAGATAAAATCGTCCTCGATCCTTAATTTTGCCGCAGAAGCAAAGAGGTTTTGCTGTACAATAATGAGATAAACTTCTTTGGTCATTTTATCATTGATCAACTCAACAATATCAGGGCCGTTCCATGAAATAGAACCCCGCAGCATCACAGACCCACCAACAAACTTGACTGTAGGTATCAAATGTTGCATCAAAAACTCCTCATTCTTTTTTCTGAAGACCATTCTTCTTCTCTTTGTGGATTGAAGTTTAAACTTGCATTCCTCTGTCCAAATTACAGATTACCAGACTTTGAGTGGCAACTTTATATGCATTTTAGCAAACGCCAGCCTCTTTCTTTGATTATTTATAGAGATAAATGGTTTTTTCGCATCGCTCTACCGCATAATCCGTCATCATTGAGACGTCTTATAATTGTCTGAAGACTAATTGCCAAATTTAATTTGTTTTTAAGTTCTATTGAACTCATGTTTGGCGTTTCAACCAATGTTCTAACAATCAGTCTATCGTCTCTTGCAGTTGTCTTCCTTGGTCAACCTGATATAATTGAATTTTCTGCTGTTTTTCACTGGTTCATTCGCTTAACGATCATCCTTACACCTTCCCCACTCAATCCAAATATCTTTGCTGCTTCTCTCAATGACTTTCCTTCCTCCTTAATTAAACGATAAATTTCAATTCTGGTATTAGTTGAAGTTTCAAGGTGTGCCATCTCAAAAAAGTTTATTTTGTCAATATTCTGTTCAAAACAAATAGTGACATTTAAAATGCTAATTTAAAATATTATTTAACTTAATTAAGCCATTATTCTGCTTATTTCACTTACTTTTTAACTTTTTAATACTTTTACTATTTATTAACTTTCCGGTGTTTATATATTAAAAAAACATTTATCAACAGACTTTTTGGATTTAGCCAACAGACTTTTTGGATTTAGCCAACAGACTTTTTGGATTTAGCCAAATTTATAAATCGTGATATATAAACTTATCTACTTATATTTTTTGCTATTTTTGTAAAACTTTTAAAAAGTAACTGTATCTAGAAGGGAAATTTGCAATATTTTGCTTTTCTTTATGTTTTTTGATTGCGATACAGTTTTTCACAAAATATACGCCTGTCAACTCACTTTTGAGCGTCACTGTATATAAACAAGTATGTTATTTATTTATGTATATTGTTTATAATGATGTAATGTTATAATAATAATGTAATGTAATAATAATAATGTAATGTAATAATAATAATGTAATGTAAATGTTTATAAATGTAAAAACTTATATAACATTTTATTCAGGATCGTATGTAATATAAGTAAACTTTTCTAATAACTACGAGTCTTTTTTGGTCAAGCTGTTTTGTTTTGATTTTTTGTATGTATGTTATTTATATTTTAAAAATTGGCAAGATTGAAAAAAAATGAAACATATTGTCTCATCCAAGTGGAAAACTCAAAACTTCAATTTTAGATTTGCCGCTTTCTTGATA